AGGTTATTTAATGCCGACAAGATTTCTACTGCTGGTAAAAATTTTTTTCCTTCAAAAATCTATTTCTGGTAATATTTTTTCTTCAAAAATTTATCGCTTGTAATTTTTTTCAAAAAAGTATAGCTGGTAATATCTTTTTTCAAAGATGTATTGTTGGTAATAATTTTTGTCTTCAAAAACTTTTTGCTGTTAATAACATTTTTAAAAAGTATTTCTACACTTTCATAGTGTTTGGTCCACAGTTTGGGGGTTAACTATTTGCCCATAGCTGGGATCCTTACAGGTGCTACCACCCCGGGTCAGAGTGGACCTGGGAACACCTGCAATTAAGAAGTGATACCACGCTCCTCAAAACCTCCTGATCAGAGGCCTTGCTGTTGGACGTAGTTTATCGTCTTAACCAGGACGCAGATGTAGTTTATCGTCGTACCTAGGACGGATAAAATTTTGTGAAGGCCACACAATGAACTGAAAACAAGAAAAGGCAAGACATTTAATTTGTGCTGTTTTAACCCAATGTCCATGACTCAGACTCCAAGAAACACTACAGCCGGTCTCCTTCATGGTATATGTGTATATATTCATGTGTATATATATATTTTTTATTCATTTATCAGATCTACAACTGCAGCAAATTATTGTCGATCTTTGATAATAAAGAACCGAAGGCGTGGATTACAGTCTTGAATAATCTCAAACCACGTGATCCCTTGATCTCTTTCTCTTTGATCCCTGAGTCAGTTCCTCTGGGTGTTGATGTAATACGATCCGATAAGACATGAGCCTCCAAGATAAACACGAGCGACGCGCCTTTTTACGGCCAAGAGTTCCTGATAATGATTACAACAAAAGGCTTTATTTATTTATTTATCTTTATCTTGCCCTGACTTTACCGTTCATGAGGGCCAGAAGTCTGTATCGACTGTCCTTGAGAGATATTACGGCACATATCAAGCATCAAACTGAACGGGCACATCTTTTTCTCTTCGCCATTTTTTTTCTCTTTTTAATTATAATAATTTGAAATAGATGAACAAATTACCGAAAAAATTAAAAACAGCAGGATACCGGATAGTTTTACCTCTCCTCTCGTAGATTGGGATTCAGCCATATAATTTCTGCGTGAAATACTAGGTAAAGATGTTGTGTAGCTGTAACAACTATGGTAGATAAAGATATTGCGTAGCTGTCATAAAAGAGACATGCTTCATTGAATATGACAGACGAGGAAAATTTGATTCAATTTTTTATTAAATTTTACGCTTGGTTGGAGCAAGTGAGTGCATTGCCCATTGTCCCAAGCGCTTTCGGTCACATTTTAGCCATTTTAAGAATGATGTACAAACAAAATAAAAAAAATGAATCAATATTTCCTAGTCTGTCATATTCAACGAAACATGTTTAAAAGAGGTTTTGCTGCCAAAATATAATGTTTTAAACATGTTTCGCTGAATATGATTAGGAAAGATATATATATATATATATATATATATATATAAACCTTGGGAAAGGTATGAATCCTCTTTTTCTCCTTCAAACTATGGGTAAATAGCAGGATAAACTAGGTTCTATAGCCTTGCGTGGCAACCGTTCTAGGAAAAAGAAAACTCTGAATTCAAAACCGGCTTGGAGAGGGCTGGGCTCCGTCAGGTTATCTTGTCCAAGAAAACCAGGTCTAATGCGGTTGCAATACACATGGTACCGCTACGACACTACGGGTCACGGGGATGGTGAGTACGAAGGTACGACAGCTCGGGAAGCACACTCTGGTCGTTCTGATAAGAGAAGAGCTCCTGTATTTATTGGTGAAGGCTTCAGACTCAACACGGAGGCATACTTCAAGTGCCTAAAGGAGCTAGTCCTGCCCTGGGTCAAGAGGGTGGCTGCTGGAAGACCCTATATCTGGCAAATGGACTCTGCACCATGCCACACAAGCAGAAGAACCCAATCATGGTTGTCAGGCAATTTCTGCAAGAGCATTATCACACACACACACACACACACATATATATATATGTGTGTGTGTGTGTGTGTGTGTTATATTATTATAGTGGAATAATGGACTGCGGTTCGGAATGAGGAATCGGAGTGCCAAGTTCGAGTCGTGCTGTTTACATTCACGTATGTACTAATACCCTTGTGAAAAGTAAGAATTCATCTTTTTTTTCCACCCAGCTATGAGTAAATTCCAGGACAGACTGGATTCTGTTGACTTGATTGGCAACCGGCTTAGGAGAAGGAAATCTCTGAATTCAAAACTGTAAGGAGCCCTGGCGAAATAAATTGACTCAATGATCCCGACTACCGCTGACTTCTTTTTCTAATACTATATTATACTATGATACTATTATACTATATCAGAGTATTATACAATAATATTATTATGCAATAATGATAATATTATACTGTATTATGCTATATTATACAGTTAGGACAATTTACGAAATGTTTTTTATTAATACCGTTTACTGTTACTGATCCTTCTCGTATTGATTGAAATTTTCTTCCAAAGATTTTGTTTAAGGTAGTGTGGAAAGTCAACATCTTTGTGCATTATTGTTTCCGTTCTAGTTACAGTTGCTATCCATTTTTGCTGCTGTTACTGTTGGAAGTCTCCAAGTGATGTGATTTCTGCTATTTGGTAAAGATCTACGCTTGTTACTTTTTAGCGCCATTATATAGGATCTGGTAAAAACCGTTTTCTTTCATATCCAAAGGTTGCTTTGGCTTGAATCCATTTTAATCATTGTTCAAAGAAAACGGTTACATATAGCTAATAATTTAGACATTTCTGAACATGATAGACGCCATATCTGACATTCATGATTCTCGTTTTGATGATGACTTAAACTTATTTAATACTAGACTACCCATAACCCATTGGGTCATTGAATGTTCACGTTATAAAACATTGAAGTTGATTTCAACATTAAAAAAAATCGTCTGTTTGAAGAATGTTGAAATAAAAATACTTACTCTATAAACAGCTCGTATTTTTAAATCTTATTCACTTAAAATATTTTTGAAATTAGATTAACTTTAAAATATTTTTTAATATGCCAAAAAATATTTTAAAATCATATTCACTTGAAAATGTTTTTTAAATATGCCAAAAAATATTTTTAAATATTTAAAATTGTGTCCGTTTAAAGAAAGCAGAAATATAAATAATTTTTCTACAAACAACTGGACGCAACAGCAAAGCGGGGTCTCTTTGCATCTGTCTTTAACTTAAAAATATTACGATTAAAAAATTGTCTGACGAAAGTTAAAATTAAAATACTTACTGTATAAACAACTCGTAAATAATTATGCGCCGGACACACAAGCACGCACGCAATCACAAACTTTTAGTATTAGATAGATAGATAGATAGATAGATAGATAGATATACTTCGTAATACTAATTCATGAATTGCTCAGAAAAAAATTGTTAATTATTATTCCTTTCTTACAAATATTTCTTTTATCGTATTTCTTTAAATTTTTACAGTAAATTTCAGATGGTCATTATCCTTCCGATTGTTCTGTGGTATATTATCACAATATTCGTACCGTCGGATTTTCAAAGATCTCATTTAAAATATTATTGGTATATCGTTTAGTCTCCAGTTGTCTTGTTATATTTTATACGAGCAGTCATACCCAGCTGGTCGATCAGAAAAAGCGTTCATTTAGAATGGAGCAAAAACAGCATCATGTTTAGATGTAACAAAGTCTATCTTCTTCAATTACTTTAAAGTAATTTCATTAAAAAAACATTTTGAATTAATGCTGTCACTGATATAACAGAAGTAGTCTGTATTTATTCATTTGAAGTTAGCCGAGGACATGAAGGGGTAAAACAGACAACATGAAGAACCTCTTCAAACAACAATTATTATGGAGTTTTTGAAAATCAATTTGTCAGTGTGCTACCAGGGATGTAAAAGAGGATACATTTATAAAGCAATTGTTAAGTTAGATGAAAACTGGTTGAAAGATCAACAAAAAATAAGAAAGAAACCAATAAAAATTGCCATTTTTCGCTGTTTACGCGGATTTTCAATAAATGACTGTTAAACAATCAACTTATTGTGGGCTACAATTGAGTCAAGTTTCTATTAGATTGCTTGAAAATTGAGGGAGTTTTTAGTTTAAAATTTGTGTTGAAATAGAATTTTCGTTAAACGCAGTGGCGTAGAAATAAAAATGAGATCTTGTTGAGCTCGTCATGATGTAATTAACCTACATACAGAGTTTGAACGAAATCGGAGGGAAAAAAGTTGAATTTATCGATTTTTGATTGGCTTTATCGATTTTTGATTTTTTTAAATTATTGATTTTTACGCTAAGAACCTTACATTGTACAATATATGTACCAATTTTGGTTAAAACCGATTGGATGGATCTCGAGTGAAAAGGAATCACAGGGACAGACAGACAGACATCCTCTGTTTTATTTATATATATATATATATATATATTGAATGTTCTTCATGCCTTTTATATGATAAATAAAAACGAACAAAAAAAAAACAAACAAAATATTTTCATTAAAAGGTTTTGTTTATCGTGTGTGCTCATAAAGTCAAAATAAGGAAGCTATATTCATGGAAAATTATAAATTATTTACAGAACTAACTACTCAAACTGTATTCTTGCTTATTATATACTTAACAAATTTAAATGGCTCTTTTTCAAAATTTTTAATTTTTGAAATCAGTTGAAACGTTCACAGCTATGACTATCCGTGCTATAAACACAGATGTACGCCATCCTCATTCCGTTCGCATTTCCTTCGTAAGAAGGAAGTTCCATTTGAACAGTTTCTTCCCAAGAGCCGCAACTTTACAGAACATACTCCGGTGAGGATGCTTTCCCGGGCACTGCAATCTTAAACACTTTAAGTCTAGCATTACATCTAATTTTTCTTACACAGCCTCATAATCTGCATTTATTTCCCCCATCTAAGTCGATTCAAAAACCGCATTTAAAAATCCTCTATCTTGAGTGGCTCAGGCCATATCACGTCGAAACACCAATTCCCGTACGATCACCGATGTTAAGCAACATCGAGCCTGGTTACTACCTAGATGGGTGACCGCTTGGGGATATCAGGTGCTGTAAGCTTGGATGTGTAGGTGGTGTAATGGATAATGGCTCAGAATGGTTTATCGGAGAGCCGTGTTTCAATTTCAATATATTCACTGACGAGCAAATAGCATTGGGAAATGTATGAATACAGCTTTTGTCCCTCCATCTATGGATTAATTAGTAAGACTTGTATCATTAAACTATTATTAACTAAAATCTAAAAATATATTTTTGGCTTTAAATAACCTGCAAAGTGCTGTTAATCTCATTCTTAAGTAGATCTTTGCCTCTGGGTGAAAATTTAGTAAGAAAAGAAGATTGTCTAGCGTCATTTAAATCCATTTCATGTACGATTCGTTCCAGCAGATTTTTAACTAGATATATTTTCCTTGCTGAAGTTTCTTTATTTTTTTAAAGAAACGAACATCACGAACTTAGTCCCTCGGGAAAGGAAATGAAAGAATTTTAACAGTACCCCACCACTAAACCAAACAATGTTCGTATTGAATGATCCTAGCTACGCCAATCTGGTTCAAACCTACGTTTCGCTATGCACCCGACCAAAGTTGAATTTAGACTCAATGGCATTTCAAATAAGCTCGTTGTCCCTGTAGTACGAAAAAGATTTTAAAAAGATTTTTCTTCAGAACAGTAATACAGAAAAAAGCATTTGGGATAACGTGTAGAGCGTATAGAAAAAAAGGACCCAAAGATTAGGGGGTCTCTTTTAGAAATTTTCTTTTTCTTTTAGGGCATGCACTGTGGGGGTGGGAAGTGAAAAGAATGATCGTGCTGGTGAACCGTCGTTTATTTCGCGGATGGAAGATAGGCTAGAGGGTGGTAGAGCTAGTGAGATGGATAGTTGGGTGCCTGGAAACGGAACCGCTGTAATTCGCACGAGTGGATTACGATAACAAGTGACAGAATTACAGCAAAGAGTTAATTAACACGAAGCCGTTAAGACCCTCGCTTGATTTGAGTACACATTGTTGGTGCCAGCCAGACGCGTGGGAGGGGCGCTACACGATCCCCTGTGTTACGACCCTCACAACCCCAGACGGTCCAAAGGCATTAAGTATTTACCTAGAAGAGAGATATTGGTAAGGAATGCCAGAGGAATTGGCTTTGGGTGGAAGGAGGGTGTATGGGTAAATAATACTTTCTTTTAGTCGCTGTTTCCTCTTTGGTAAGATTAACTGTCTGAAAGGTTATAATTCTAAACTTTAGAGGCTTGATATATATATATATATATATATATATATATATAACATCCCAATTTATCCATGATTTTCCATTGCGCAATCTGCAGATAGAACGCTGACATTTTCAAAAACATTCTAGGTGAAATTTTTTTAACATTCAGGACTTGATTCGTAAATATTTCCCCTGTCACTAGAAATATTTACTTGGTTACAGAAAGTGGTGGAGACGCGCACACTCTCTGTGAGTAGCGGTAAAAAAGGCGAAACTTTTTCAGTTTATACATTTGGTCATAGGAATTTAGCGCTAAAATTATTACTGCTTCATTTGTTCCTATGGCTAAAATTTTGTGTCATTGTAATAATAATAATAATAATAATCAGAAAGGAAACTGAAAGAAAGTGATATGAACACCACTCAGACCCGGTTACGGAGATAGGACCTGTTACAATTTTATGGGACTACACAATACACATAGACAAAGCTAACCGCCAAGACATTGTTATTAGAAATCGCACACAAAAAGTGCCTCCTTATTGATATAGCAGTCCCTGCAGATTGCAATGTATCTTTGAAGATCTTCAAAAAGCTATCAAAATACAAAGACCTTGAAATCGAAATCTCAATAATGTGGCACATGGGAACATCAACAATTCGCGTTGTAGTTGGAGCTCTCGGATTGTTTGGAAAAGATTCCAGTAGACTGATTGAAGGGATTCCTGGAAGCGCATGCCTTAAAGAAATTAAAAAAAAATGATCTCATGAGTACAGCCCATACTTTACGAAGGGCCTTGTCTATGCAAAATGTTTTGTTCTTGTTTTGTTTTTTTTCCAGTGGAAAATGTCATGATGCCATTTCTACCCTTAGGTCCCGGGGCGGGACCCGGAAAGAAAACAGTACACATCAGGAATCAAAGGAAATAATAATAATAATAATAATAATAATAATAATAATATGATCTGAATGATGCTCTGTGTCAAAGCACGTAAAAGAAATAATAAACGAAGCCAACAAATTGAAAATGATATTTCAAGTGGATGAAGAATAGCAATAAGCCCTAATCCACGTACAGCAGTGGAAAAGAAATCAACTTTAAATGCAATGTATCAAATGCAGAAACGATGGTAAGATAAACAGCTTCATGGTTAATACTCGATTTGTTCCAAACGAGCTGATGTAGACAAACCACATACCCAACAGTGGTTACGTATTGCAAAGTTAAAAGCTAAAACCGAAGGATTTATTCTTGCAGCACAAGACCAATGCTTACTAACTAGAAATTACAAAGTAAACATACCGAAAAACTGTGTTGACCCCGAATGCAGATTCTGTGATATCTTGTATCAGGTTTCACGGTATTAGCATCGACTGAATATAAAACACAGAGTTACTGGGTGGGCCAATATATAAACTGGGATATTTGAAACTTTTGCGGAGAGGAAACTGCAAAAAATTGGTATAAACATTACCCAGACCCGGTTGTAGACATAGAAACTGTAACAATTTGATGGAACTTTACAATACGCACAGGTAAAACAATCTAAGCTAATCGCTCATACATGGGGATCAAAGTTCACAAGAACAGGATGTGCTTTCTTATCGACATGGTAGTTCCTGCAAACTATGGTGATCCTTTGAAGATCCTCAAAGATCTATCAAAATACAAGGATGATGTAATGAATATGCATACACCTGGGTTCCCCCTCACAGTAATATGATTGACTGGTGTCAACCATAAATACAGACTGATGTGGAGGTACATGGATTACACCTATGGACGCCTATTCATTTATTGCCTACCAGTACGACGAGGACCACTCCATTACGGTTACCTGCTAGATTGTCCTACTCGGTTACAGTAGTCCAAAACCACTTTGCTACTTCGAACAAATATATCTCTTTTCGGGACATGTTAAAGGATCTAGAAGTGGAAGTCTAAAAATGTGGCACACGAGGACGTCAATAATTTCAGTTGTAGTTAGAGCCCTTGGTTTGATTGGAAAAGATTCTGATAGATTCTTTGGGTGGATTCCTGGCAGCCCCTGCCTTAATGAAGCACAAAAAATATTCACATAAACATAGCTCACACCCTAAAAAGAGCCTTATCTTGAAATCGAATATCTCAAAAATGTGGCACATGAGAACATCAACAATCCCTGTTGTAGTTGGAGCCCTCGGATTGATTGGAAAAGATTCCAGAAGACTCATTGAAGGAATTCCTGGCAGCACATGCCTTAAAGAAATACAAAAAAATTGTTCTCACGAGTACAGCCCACACCTTACGAAGAGCTTTATTTATGTAAATTAAGTGTCTTTTTTTTTAATTGCTCAGTGGAAAATGTCAAGATGCCATTTCTGACCTTAGGTTTCTGGTCGGGACCCGGAAGGAAATGAATACACCCCAGAATTCAAAGCAAATAATAATAATAATAATAATAATAATAATAATAAGACGAAGAAAAATAAGAAGAAGAAGAAGAAAAAGAAGAAGAAGAAGAAGAAGAAGAAGAAGAAGAAGAAGAAGAAGAAGAAGAAGAAGGTTTTATTTGATAAGCACTTGCAAAAACAATCGTCCTGATCTCACATTTGAACCAACGAACAGATCCTGATATTCGTTGGAGTACCTTGGGATAAGAATATCGTGGAAACGGAGCAGGCCAAAATACATAGGTACGAAGACATGGAAGGGACAAAAAGGTGAAATATATTAAGTGACATTTCAAATTCTCCCTTTTGTCGTTGCGACACACGGGATTAAGAACATCTCTGCATTTTCAGGATGCCTAACATCGTGCTGGATGGGGGTGCAGACAGCAGCACTGCTTGAATCAGCTCATGTCTTAAGGAAAACGTTGTGTCATTAAGTAGGAGAGAGGAGTTGAATTATAGCCATCATCAACCGACCGAAACATCGGAGATGTTGTCAATTGAAATAAAATAATAATAATAATAATAATTATTATTAAAATAATAATTTTATTAAAATAATAATAATAATAATAATTCATTTTAATTCTGTTTTTGCGTTTTTCTTGTGTGTAGACAGAAGTTTTCATTATGGAACTAAGTGTTTGTAGAGATTTGTCCAAATGCATTTACATTCCATGAGATTTCGGCTAAACTCTTAGCGATTTTCAATGACTTTGGTATTGCTATTGTATCTGGTGTGCAAGATATAAATATATATTTAATTCTAGGATCCGGCCACTTGCACGCCATTTGCAATAGCACAACCCAAATCTTTGAAAATCGCGTATGGACAAGAGGAAATCGCTCAAGGCGAACAATCATTTGTACCATTTCTACACGCATTAAGTTCGCAAACAAACAAAAAAAAAACTCAATGAAAGAAGCAGCTTCAGAGGGATTTTAACGAAACATGTATTAGAGAGTGTTTGCTTCCCAAATTTACATACATACAATCACACGCACACACACGTACACACACGCACACAGACACAGACACACACACACAGACATATATATATATATATATATATATAACTAATATACTTTAAAATTTAGTAAATATGTCCCTAGTCACAATATAAATAAAAGACTAAAGGAAAACTTTTCTTTAAGACAGGAAACGCGTTGGTTGAGAAAGGTTTCTTCTTTGTGATATATATATACATTTTTCCTCAAGATTGCGTTGTGGATGTAAAAACAAGTCGTGTTAACGTTGATCAGAGAAATGTATATTTATTAATATATAATTTAGAGCCCTGTTATATTGCATCGAACACTATTTTATTAACACCATCAATCAATGTGTGATATTATATATATATATATATATATATATATATATATATATATATATGTATATAAAG